TTCACCAGTGGCCTCCTTCCCGAGGCAATTCCCTGCTCTCCCCTGCTAGAGGGGCACCCTAAGCCAGGAGTTGCTGGGCAATCCCACGGAGTATAGGGCTTTGGTGGGAGAATTGAATTATCTGGCGACGAACACGCGGCCTGACATTTCATATGCATTGAGCGTTTTGTCCCGGCATATGGCCGCACCCACGAAGACTGCCATGAACTTAGCAACTGGCGTTCTGCGTTACCTAGTGGGGACTCGCGAACTAGGATTGCGTTTTGGGGGTGTTGGCGACGTTGCTATGTCCGGGTACAGTGATTCTGACTGGGCAGGAGACCCAGTTACGCGGCGTTCTACGTCCGGTTACGTATTCACTCTTAATGGGGCTGCGATTAGCTGGAGCAGCCAACTTCAACGTACTGGTAGGAATACCGATCGTTGTGAGATAAACAAATAAGCGCAGTCACCACCCTAAATACCGGCGCTAGCGGAAAACTCGTACATTCCGCGATCTAACTGCACGTACATTCCGCGATCTCACTGCGCCGTCCTGACGATGCCCTAATGTCTATCACTTAGCTACCGGATATGCATCGGTAGCCCATAAGCTTCTGGGGTAAGTCTTCCCCATTAGTCAGGCGCAGACCCGGGGTCAAATCCCCTGGTCGACAACCACACGAGTTGGGAGAGGACCGTTTCCTCAACACGCCCCCTCGGGCCGTATCCCAACGAGTACCAAGTTCATCTGCACACTTCACACAAGGCCCATCGCATCTCGGCAACGTTTGAACTTCACCTCGCCCAGAGCCTTCGTTAGCACATCCGCAACCATCCACTCCGTAGGGCAGTATTCCAACTGCACCTCACCACTATTCACCCTCTCACGCACTATGTGATGCTGCACGTCGATGGCAACGAAAAACTGCCGACAGAAGCATAAGCTGCCGACTCGGTAGGCGTACCAGACCCACCGCTTGCCAACTCGAGAGTCAAGAACGTCGAGGTGACGATAGCCATGTCCGAATCGCCGTCACGCACCAGTAGGGATGTCGTTACCATGCTGAAGCGGCTGGGCAAACCAACAAGCAAAGTGTGTGCCCGCTGATAACGTGTCCTACTCCCAAAAAGTCCAACTGTAGTTGCTTGCAGGCGTCCTATGCCTTCTTCGCGTTAGCTATGTTAGCTACTAGCGTAAGTCGGGGCTCATAACCTGTTAAGAATATGAAGGAGGCAAGGAGACTGGTTGCGATATAAGTATTACAATCAGTAGGTGAGGCATCGCCTATCACGGCGGATTCATCGCCTATCTACCACCTATCTACGTTGGGATAGGACCGCCCCTCAACAAAGTGAAGTTCGAACGGTGCAGAGAAGCTATGGGCGTTGTGTGAAGTGTCCATTGGCGGAGCAAATGTGCTACTGCGAGTTGGGATATGTCCCGAAGGGGCGTGTTGAAGGGCGGTCCTATCCCAAGTAGGTGGTAGTTAGGCAATGAATCCGCCGTGATAGGCGATGCCTCGGAATTGCCTCGACCTTGCCTCGACCTTGCCTCGGGTCTCTCGGCCGCGTATCTCGGACGTGTCCTCAGGTCCAGAGATGGTGGACGACTGTACGATACTTCCGTTGGTATCGGTACATAAGACCAGAGTGGTGCATGTCTTTCTATCTCATCTTAGGATGGATCCGTATTCCTTGACAGGAATCTCCTAAAGTCTTCTTGCCGTTCACCACTAACCCACAGACTATAACTGTATCGCGACCAGTCTCCTTGCCTTCATATTCTTAACAGGTATATTGAGCAGCTATTGGAGCGTCATAAGTTGGTTGACGTCAAGCCGAGGTCTACCCCTTTGCCTCCGGGCTATAGGTACACTCCTACGGGGGACGGAGAAAAGCTGCTGGACAATCCCACGGAGTATAGGGCTTTGGTGGGGGAGTTGAATTACCTAGCGACGAACACGCGGCCTGACATTTCGTTTGCATTGAGCGTTTTGTCCCGGCATATGGCCGCATCCACGAAGAGTGCTATGAACTTAGCAATTGGCGTTCTGCGTTACCTGGCGGGTACTCGCGAACTAGGATTACGTTTTTGGGGTGTTGGCGACATTGAGATGTCCGGTATAGCAATCCTGACTGGGCAGCAGTGTTCGACACCCCGTACGGGGCCCGTAAGTATTTGGCCTTTTTTCGGTATCCCCGTCAGGGCCCGTAGGACTTTTCGGTGGCTCCCGTAAAGATTTTGGGGCGCGAAGCGCCCCGTACGGGGCCGCCCCCGGACAGGCCGAAGGCCGGTTACGGTGACTCCCGTAAAGAATTTAAGGATAATTTATAATTTATAAGATGCCTTACGGGGCCCTGTACGGGAGAGGACGGACCATGTAAAGGATAAGGCCCCACACTTGGCAGGCATAATTCATATTGCAATATGTAACTACACTTTTCATAGTACTTTTATAGCTTCTGGTCTGTAACATCCAGCGATGGCAGACAATGAGTCGTCAGGAGGTGACCAACCACCGCGCTCCAAGAGGCGCGTCACCTTAAAATTGTCGGACCTATGGGGCTCTGGTAAGGTCGCTCATCTATTGTGGGAACGGAGCTGATTGACAAGAACCGCAGGCCTGAAAGTTGACCGAAAGATTTGTGTTATAGGCAACCCTAATGATGATCCTGAGGAGCGTATGATGCGTTTGGCTCAAGTCGCTACAATCCTGCCAACACAGACGGCATGTGTTGAGCGCGGATTTAGCCGGCATCGTATTATTAAGAATCGCCTGACGAACCGGCTAAAGCTGGAAACGGTTGATTCACTACTTCGTGTGGGCATGTTGGGACCTGCTGCTGATACCGGGGCGAAGCCACTGATTGATCAGGCTGCTGGGATCTACTCGCGTAAGGGTTATACAGGCATTATTCACAAGTTGTCTTCTGACGTTAGCAAAATTAATTTGAATCCATACGGAGAGGATGATAATGAGGAGGTTGCGACGGACCCAAAGATTGAAGTACTGGTACAAGCAACATACCCCGCTAGTGATGATGAGGCTTTTAGTGACAGTGACTACGAGACCGACGTAGAACGAGATACCGATGAGTCGTCTGTGGATGAGGATTTTGATGAGGAGGAGGAGGACGCGAAAGAGGAGCAGAAGGGATGGGCGGCCGCGGTGGCCAAGGCGCTTGGCTTTCGCTGAGTGTGCCGTGTCCCCATGTGTAATGGTTCACGGGAAAATAACGAAAATAACGATTTACAGGGCAAAAAAATGCAAAGCGTCACTTTCCACAGCGTTTTAGCCATGGACAGTGTCCCCACAAAGGTTTTGCGGGGTTACGGGGGCCCCCGTAAGGTTTTCGGCTAGTACAGGAGCCTGGTACGGGGGCCCCTCCGTAAGGAAAATTTGGGAGGTTCGGGGGATCCCGCAAGTTTCGGGAAGGTCAGTGTCGAACCCTGCTGGGCAGGAGACCCGGTTACTCGGCGTTCTACTTCCGGCTACGTTTTCACTCTAAATGGGGCTGCGGTTAGCTGAAGCAGTCAACTTCAACGTACTGTGGCGGCTTCGTCGGTGGAGGCCGAGTATCAAGCTACAGCGGCAGCTGTTCGTGAGGCTTTGTGGCTTCGCAAGCTGATGGTCGATTTGGGTTTGCCTGAGAGCGCTATCAAGATTCAAATAGATTCCCAGGGGGCGCTTAGCTTAGGAAATAACCCGATTACGTCTGCTCGGTTGAAGCACATCGACGTACAGCATCACATAGTGTGTGAGAGGGTGAATAGCGGTGAGGTGCAGTTGGAATACTGCCCTACGGAGTGGATGGTTGCGGATGTGCTCACGAAGGCTCTGGGCGAAGTGAAATTCAAGCGTTGCCGAGATGCGATGGGCCTTCTGTGAAGCGTGCTGATGAACCAACCTGGTACTCATTGGGATACAGCCCGAGGTGGCATGTTGAGGAAACGGTCCTCTCCCATCTCGTGTGGTTGTCGATCAGGGGATTTGACTCCGGGTCTGCGCCTGACTATTGGGGAAGACTTACCCCAGAACTTTATGGGGCTACCGATGCATATTCGACAGCTAAGTGATAGACATTTGGGCACCGTCAGGACGGCGCAGTGAGACCGCGGAATGTACGAGTTTACCACTGCACCAGTATTTAGGGTGGTGACTGCGCTTATTTCTTTATCTCACAACGATCGGTATTCCTCAAACGGAATCTCCTAAAGTCGTGCCGAACGCTAATATTACTTTTTACATTACTTGTAACAGTTTATCGTGTTCAGTATCTTCGCCGCCGGCATTCCTTCCAGAATAACAATCAGCATCAGCTGTCACCGTCGCCAATTCTTCAACAGGTTATGAGCCCCGCCTAGCGCCAACAGCTATCGTCTGATTGTTATTTCTATCCCTTATCGACAATGGTCAAGGATAAGCTTGATGAGCCGCTGGACCTCCACAACTACTCCATGTGGCAAATACGGTTTAGCATGATGTGCATGAAGCTTGGGCTTGAGCAGTCTTTGCTCGCCTAGCCGTGCAATGAGGAGCACATTCGTCAATCGCGGAAAGTCATCAACTTGCTTATCAAGAACGTGAAGGATAACCATTTGCCGATGGTCACCGGTGCCGCAAACACGAAGAAGGCTTGGGATGCCTTGAACTCGATGTTAGCTGCCAACAACATCACAACCGGCAGGCGGCTGGCAGAAGTTAAGGCCTGGCTTCTGCTCCCGTCGCGTCCCGGCGCGTCCGGGTTCAAATCCGCATGCCGACCTCTCGGGGTGTTTGAGAGGTGATGAAATGGGAGGTAGCCCCCCATCTTGTGGACGGTGTAGGACGTGATAAAATCAACTCGCGAGCTGACCAGGAACTAAGTTGACGCGCCGTTGATCCGCTAGATTTGGTTGGATGCTGGTGGTGAGTTGCCAAACTCAAAGAGTACACTCTGAAGTCGGATGGGGTGAATGGCTTAGGGTGCCCCTCTAGCAGGGGAGAGCAGGGAATTGCCTCGGGAAGGAGGCCACTGGTGAAGCTTAACCACCCTGTAACAACATCAACAACACCCGCAAGGTGGCTCTACGACAAGAATTCAGCCGCTTCAAGATGGTCGACGGTGAGCCACCTCCGAAGTACTTCGCGCGTGCGAGGCAGCTGCAAACGGACTTGTTGGGTGTCGGCCACGTAATCAACGACTCAGAGCTGGCGTATACCGTCCTAGTTGGTCTACCCAATCGGTACAGTGTGGTGACGACAACGCTACTGATGGCGAACGTCACATATGCATCGAAGCTTTTAGCTATCGAGACGGCAAACGGTGGGTCAGGCAAATCTACCGAGTCGGCAGCCTTTGCATCTGTCAGCGGTTCGACATTCGGCGTTTCTAATTCTGGTTATGGTAGCCGGGGGCCGGCTAACAACAGATTGGGACACAGTCGAAAGCAGACCGTTTGCTACTACTGTAATAAACCTGGGCACATGGTAAAGGACTGCAGGCAGCTTAAAGCGCTCAAGCAGTCGTCAATTTCTGGAAATAAGGGTGGCTACAACAACAGTGGCAGCGGAGCTAGCAGCAGCAAGCCAGGATCCGGTGGATGAGCTAGGGGGCCAGGTGTTCCACGGCAGGTAGCGTTCGTGGCATACAACAACGGCAGGCGGCTGGCAGAAGTTAAGGCCTGGCTTCTGCTCCCGTCGCGTCCCGGCGCGTCCGGGTTCAAATCCGCCTGCCGACCTCTCGGGGTGTTTGAGAGGTGATGAAATGGGAGGTGGCCCCCCATCTTGTGGACGGTGTAGGACGTGATAAAATCAACTCGCGAGCTGACCAGGAACTAAGTTGACGCGCCGTTGATCCGCTAGATTTGGTTGGATGCTGGTGGTGAGTTGCCAAACTCAAAGAGTACACTCTGCAGTCGGATGGGGTGAATGGCTTAGGGTGCCCCTCTAGCAGGGGAGAGCAGGGAACTGCCTCGGGAAGGAGGCCACTGGTGAAGCTTAACCACCCTGTAACAACATCAACAACGAGCGTCCGACGGAATGGTTTCTGGACTCCGCATCTACTCACCATGTCACTTATGACCGATCCGAACAACTCAATGTGCGTGTGTTGGAGCCTTGGGAACGCTTCAGCATTGTGGGCATTAAGGGTCAGTCACTGCGTCCGACAAAGGTTGGATCACTTACCATTCGATCTAATGTCAACGACAATCAATCCATCACATTCAAAAGGGTCTACGTTGACGAGGAGGCGATGGTAAAGATTTTGTCCGTCCGTATCATCGACGATCGCGGAGGTAGCGTCGTCTTCGGTGACGGTCAAGTAAAGGTATACTTGCAAAATCATTTAGTGTTGACCGGTGAATGGGACGGTGATCTCTACCCCATTTGCGATCTCTACCCCATTTGCTATCGAGGTGGAAGTACAGGCACCATCAGGAGGACGCAGAATACGAGCTACAGTGACAACGGACATGGCACAACGTGCACCGCCGTGGATTCCACGATGGAGCGTGCAACACTTTGGCATCGGCGTTACGGACATCTGGGCTACAGCAACCTCGAGGCGTTGCTGCGCCACAATATGGTAATGGGATTTGACGTCGACCAGCACAGCTTTCAGAAAGCCAGTATGTGTGTTTGTAAGACCTGCGTTTTTGCAAAGCAGACACGAGGTCCTTTTCCGCTGACAGGGCACAAGGCAGCCCGACAGACTAGCACTAGTTCACATGGATGGACCTATGCCTGAACCTTTGCCTAGTGGTTCGCGTTACGTGACAACTCTGCTTGATGACCATACCGGTCTTTCAGCTGTTGCGTTTACAGCGACCAAGGAGGAGGTCTATCAGAAGATGGTGGTAATGATAACGGAACTGGAGCGCGCTTCTGGCAGGCAGGTTAAGGAGGTGCGTATGGATTGTGGCGGGGAGTTCATTAACACTCGCACGAAGGGCTATTTCGCGTCCAGGGGCATTGTACATGGAACTACGGTAGGCTACACCCCTGAGCAGAACGGAGCTGCGGAACGTTTGAATCGCACTCTCCTAGAAACAACTAGGGCTATGCTTGTCGAGTCTGGACTACCTAAGTCATTATGGGCGGAAGCGTTGGCGACAGCCAATTACCTCAGGAATGTGTCGCCAACTGCTGGGGCAACTGTCACACCGTATGAAGCTTTCTTCAACGTCCGTCCTAACGTCAGTCACCTTCGAGTTTTTGGGTGCGTCGCCTACGTCCACGTACCTGACGTCAAACACGACAAGTTCAATCCGGTGCGCAGGCGTGGAATACTTGTCGGATACTGGAACGGAGGACAGTACCGTGTGCTGTACGAGGACGGCATTATTGCCGTACTTTCTAACGTTCGCTTTGATGAATCTAACGTCGGCCGGCGGTGTTATGCCGGGGACTCCGATTATGAGTCCGATGCCAACGAGGAGGATTTTCACACTAGCCTGCCTGGTGAGGGATCGCTGCCTAGGGCTGGTGAAGGGATACCAGGTAGCACCGTCGGTGAGGGAATGCCGCACTTGGGTGGCGAGGGGGCGCCGGCTGGGGCTGGACCATCCAGCAGTGTGAACGTGCAAGGTAACAATCAGCCTGATGTGGAAATGGCAGGGACCCGGTATCCAGTTAGAGAACGTAAACACCCTGGCGAATGGTGGCGAAACGAACCTGGTCGCACTGTCACTGGTCGCGTTAACACTGCTTTCTCTGGTGGTATTCCTGAACCTAATTCGTTTGCGGAAGCCATTGCAAGTCCACATGCAGACGACTGGCGGCGTGCGATGGATGAGGAGATCACCGCTTAGATGGCCAACCATACCTGGGAGCTTAAGAAGCCGCCGCCTGGTACACGTTTACTGCCTTGTCGGTGCGTGTATAAGGTGAAGCATGATGCAGACGGTAATGTGGAGCGTTTCAAGGCGCGTTTAGTTGCAAAGGGTTTCGAACAACGCGAGGGGATTGATTATGGGGAGTTGTTTGCCCCTACCTCTCGTGGTTCATCTTTACGTGTTAGCAGTTGCCGCAGCACGGAACATGACGGTGCACCAGCTCGGTGTGTCTACTTGTTGAAGGGCGGTCCTATCCCAATGTAGATAGGTGGTAGTAAGGCGATGAATCTGCCGTGACCGGCAATGCCTCGGCCGTGCCTCGACCTTGCCTCGGGTCTCTCGGCCGTGTATCACGGACGTGTCCTCAGGTCCAGGGAT